TATGACGCGTCCAATTTAATTTGGAATCAAAGATAACTCCAAGAAATTTGTGGTGAGTGACAGAGATTAGTTGCTGGTTATTAAGACTTAATTTCACAGTAGCTTAAGAGCGAGAAAACGGTAGAACTGCAGACTTTAGGGCTGAAAAGCCCCATTTAAAAAACCAATCGGCTAAATTGTCCAAATTTGTTTGAAGACAGGTCTGAATGTGATTAATATTACGACCAGTTTTCCAGAGGGCTAGATCATCAGCAAAAATACTATAATTCGTACCATTATTAATGAAGGAAGCACTTAGGTCATTAATCATTAGAAGAAACAGAATAGGGCTAATAACACTACCCTGGGGAGTGCCATTTTCCGAGACTATTTCCCCAGAGACAGCTCCATTGACTCTGGCCTTAAAGGTTCGGTTTGAAAGAAAGTCTTTAATCCAGTTAAATAGTTGGTCATCAAAACCATAACTATTGAGTTTATATAACAAACCTTCTTTCCAGACCATATCGTATGCTCGTTCAATATCCAAGAATACAGACACTGCCTTACCTCTGTTACTGGTCGAAAAGTTATGTTTTTCACAATACCAATTCAAACGGTATGCAATCATTTCCTCCATAATTTTACACATTGTAGAAGTAAGAGCAATTGGTAAAATAGAGCCAAAATAGGGGTTTGTAGTTTGAGTAAATAATGTCTACAGTATCTCCAACCTTGTTTGCTTACTAGTTTTACAATCCCTATTTGCAGGTTTTTTAAATTCCCAATTTTTTATATATGTATGTTATAAACTGTGTGTGTGTACTCAAGGTAAGAAATATTATTCAACACAGTAATAATGTTAATATAAACTTTACAAACAGTTTACTCAAATGTTAAAGTGCCATCCATGATATGTGTTCATAAAAGTGTTTGTCAAGACATTTGTAAAAGAAAGGTAATCTCAAAGTTTCCAATTGTGATAATTACAACTAAAATTAAATACCTGGAGGTAGGGACACAATCTATCAAAGAAAGAAAATATGTGGTGGCTGAAAACCTGAACAGTGTGAACTCCTTATTAGCAATGAATGTTTGAGTATAGGGGGATAATATTAATAGTAAAAATCGTATTTTCTGGCAAAATATGATGAAAAAGACAAGTTGAAG